GGGGGGGCCGTAGGGCGTCCGGCCCTGGGGGGACACCCCGGGGGTCTGGGGCGTGTGGCCGGCGTGTGGCAGCGCCTGTCAGTCCTGGGGCGAGAGCTCGACGGCGGAGACGTGCGAAGGCGCGCGCGGTGGGCACGCACCACGTGTGGCGGGCACGCGCCGCCCGGACGCGTTTCGGCGGGACTGGCCGTCGCCGTAACGGGGTGACCGGGCAGAGGAGGGTTACGGTAGTTTCCTGAAGCGATCTGAGGGGGCGGGTGTTAAAAAAACACAAAAAGGAGAAATGGTCAATGAAGTCACGTCCTGTCGTTGCCTGGGTTGGTTACTGGAAGGGTTCAGACCCGCTGCTGGTCTTGTCTTTCGTAGTCGATGCGTGCGTTGGCACGGAAGCCGGGGGGAAATGGAGTTTTTGCCATAGATCTTCCAGGGGTGTTGAGAGTTGGGGCACGCTTGTCAGGGCAGGCTGTCGGAAGACGCGGCATTTTGGGGGTTCCAGTCTCTGCCCCGAGGTGTCTCCCTCCTCTCCCCTCCTGTGCGATGGAGGGGAAACTCAAATCCTCAGCCAAGCCTCTGGTCAAAAGTCACAAGATGAGTAAAATCTTGGTCTTTAGAAATAGCGTCTTGAAATAATACCTTCTGTGTTCTTTGGTTTAGAGCCTAGAATTTTCATCTTTGGTATTCCCAAGCTTTTCTCCAAAACCCAAAGGGAAATAACAAAACCCTTTTTTTCTTAGTGAAAGCTGAGATTAACATCTCATCATCTGCCCCTTCAGAAGCTGAGGTTTTAGGAGCACTGAATGTTAACTGACTTACGTTAAAATGGTAAGTTTGGACAACAGTGCTTTCTTCCAAATGGAACTTTGAAGAAGCCTGACTGAGGGAAACTATGGGCCCAAGACCAGTGGAGAAGTCTGTGAAGAGACAAAATCCGTGAAAGGAATGAAACCAGAGAAGGAGATGAGACCACATGGAGGCCTAGCCAATTGAAGTAGGTACCCTACATTGGCCCTGTTTAGAGGCCTCAGAAGGTGTTTGACCCGCAACAGTGAAGCACTCTTACACCAGAGGGAGAGGTTGGAAAGAGCTTTGTCACTGGGCGCTGCCCAGGTGTGGCCCTAGGGTTACATTCAACATTGGTCTTGCGGAGGGAGGAGCATGCTGATTTTGTGTTCCTTAGCTCACTCACCACTGCTGGAGAACACGATGCTCGTGTTGTAGCCACTTCACCACTGGCGTAGCTCCTCTCACCTCCATCGCTCTGCCTTTTCAGCATTCTTGAGTTGTTCTTCCTCAGTCCTCCCACTCCCCAGGTGCCATCACTGAATCTGTAATTCAAAGATTTGGGAAAAGATGACAGGAACAGTACAGAGACTCTGTGAAGGCACCTGAAAGTGAACCCTAAAGAGCAAGATAGGGTTTTCAGGAAGGTGAAGTTGCCCATCATTCTTTCCTGCTGTGTGCCTCAGTGTCCAGGGTGGGGGTAAAAACCCCTTCCCGCCATACCAGTTTGTGCCACTGTCCCTCCAGCTGCTTGCCCTGCAGCTCTGCTCTCACACCACCTGGAGAGCCTGGCATTCCCGAGTCAGTCACCGCTTTTGTTAACTGCATGGAGCCTGCCACTCCCACGCACCAGCTCCTGTCTCGATGACCCTGTGGAGAGTATATCTCTGATGAAAGAAATGCAGAATCCCTTTCCTGCAGCTGAACGATACCATGTGGGCAAGCGGCTCTATGTACCCATCTGTGGTAGAGAAGGGTCTCCCAGGGTCGCAGTTTCCCCCATTCATTTCAATTAAATACTCTCAGGGAGTAAGAGTAGTGTTTGGAGCTGAAAAGAACCTAAAAGATAACCTTTAAGAAGTACATATTGCTGCCTTAATTGCAGTGAAAGTTCTTGGCCCCCTCCCCCCTCCATCTCCTTCCTTGGGGGAGGAGATATCCCAGCCAAAACACAAAGAGCTGGAGGAAGAAGCTCAGTATTGCTGGGATGGTACACGCCCCAGCTGCTGTGCTAGGGGGAGCTGGGATGAGACATCTGAAAGTTTCTCAGGATCCCAGCTGACATGAAGGTGTAGAAGGAGAATGATTCAGAGTCCCAGGTGTGAAGATCATGCCTCAGCCAGATCCTAACCCACACATGGAAAGTTCCTGGTACAGTTCCTGCTCCTTTCCTCCTTTGTCACCTATGGCTTTCCTAGTCATAGGGAAGGTTTTTCCTTCACCTGGGCTTTTCCTAGTCACTAGGAGGGGGGTCTTGAGAGACAGGTCTGTGGCTGGCAGACCTTCCTCTCTATGCTGCAGCAAGGAAAAAGAGAATCAGGAAAGGGGCAGTGGCACCATGCTTTGGCAGTCTTTCA